GGGGGATCCAAGCAAGCTGTTTCTCAGCTCTGTAACAGGAGCTGCACACTTCAGGCCATGTCATTTCTGCTTATAAAACTGAAACTCGTGTTTGTTAAACAGTTCAGTCCAAAAAACAAGCAATGAGATTCGAGCTGCTCCTGTCCTACCAGAGACACAGATCCCGGCAGGGGCACAGTGCCTAATGTGCCTGTTTGCCTAATGGCTCGCAGGGCTCTGTGGGGTTTAGTGCTTTAGTAACTTAAAACACATGGCTGGCTCCTGTGGCCAGTGCTTTGTTGGGGCAGAGACTTCGGGACGTGCCTCACGTAGCTTGCACTCGGCAGTGTTTTGAGGGGTACAGGTTCCTGGGCTTCACCCACCAGGCACGGATGTCGCTGTGCTCAAGGTGATGCCTTCCAGGGTGTGATGGCAAGCCCAGGTGGCTCCAGTAAAGCCTCATGGACTCCTCTCCATGGGCTTGGTGGGTTTTCATGGCTAATTGAGCTTGTTTTGATGATCTGAGCCAGCTGTGTAAAAGTTAATGTTTGTCTCCGAATGTGATTTCAAAACCCTTGAAGGAGGATCCACATCTTTGATCTGGCTTGGCAAAAAGGAGGGCTGTGTTCCTGTAAGGAGCTGCATCATGTTGGAAGCCATCAGAACTCCCTGCTGAAACTGGGATGCTGGGGAAGGGTGATAGCGGAGCTGAGACAGCCAGCTGTGTCTTTGAAATGTGTGTGGGTTTTCCAGTAGGTCAAGTGAAATGGGAGAAATTTTCCTATCTTCCATTTTCTGCTGGTGGAGGCAGGATCCAGCCCTAGCACTCGCTTCCTGCTCCAGAGCAGTGAATGGGATGGAGTGTCCCATCCAGGGTGTTACGGAGCTCACAGCGGTGCCGTGTTCCCGCTGTGGTGGCATTAGTGTGTGTGAGCAGGAGCAGCCCTCCCTCTTGCCTCAAAACAGCAAGAACCTATTCTTCCCCCCAAAAAAATGCCCAGCACTGCTGTACAGTGGGAAGGGCGATGCTGTGGCGGGTCAGACGCTGGCTGCCACCAATGGGTTAGAGCAGCTGGTTTGCTGTGGCCTCTTCTCCTTGTGCTGCTGAGGTCCCTGACCTTGAATAAGTAACGCTTCCCCATGCGCATCTGAAGCTGCAGTGGGATGGAGGCCGCAGCAAACAAGGCCTTGCTGTTTGGGTGTAACTGTGTTTCGAGCTGAAGCTGGCGGCATTTGTGTCTTTGTTCTCTGTTTTTTCCTGGCCTTACCCAAGGAGCAAAGGCAGAACGTGTTCTCAGGGCGTTTACATGTCTTGGATGCAAAATTGCATCCTGGCTCCTCAGTTCCTCGCCTGGGCGGGCAGTGGGTGTGCGGGGCAGAGCAGCGGGCTCCTGCCCCCCTGCTGTACCCAAAGAGTGTGGGGTGTGGGAGCGGGATGTAGGAGCTGGGTGCCTCCTCTCCTGGGTTCAGCTGGCGAGTGGCTTGTCCTGGAGCCCTGTGGCCATGGAGGCTGAGCTCTGGCTGGCCAGCCTCTGCCTGGCTTGGGTCCACTCTGCAGCATGGAAAAATGGTGTTTCTGGGGGTTGTGCCGTGGGTGATGGTCTCCCTGGACATGTGCGGCTTTCAGATAAGATCTGTTCTTCCTTGTTCGGTGTCTCTGCACCAGTGTGGCGATCAGACTGTGCCTCCAGGTCCTTGCTGAGGCTGACAGTGCGGTGCCTGGGCAGAGGCATCTCTCTTGGAGCAGGAGGGATGTACTGAGCTATTCCCAGTGGCACCATGAATCTCCTTCATGGGCAGCTGGTGTTTGGCAAGGGTGGAAGGACCTGGGCTAGCTCTGCTGGACCTGTGCTGGTATAGCCAGGGGTGAAAGTCTGTTTGGGTGGAGCTGCGGAAATCACGCGGCTGGGACCGGTGTTGAGAAGGTCCTGATGTGCCAGATGCACAGGAGAGGCTGTGTCATCTTCGGAAAAGCTGTGGGCTCGAGGCTCTGACCATGGCTCGGAAACGGGTAGGGTGCCAGGCTCTGCCCACCTTGGGGAGGACCTCACCATGTGCCTGGCTGCTGCTTTGCCTTCCACCTTGCTTCTCTGTCCCCAAAGTGACTTTCTGCATGGAGAGTTTGTCACAGAAAGCCCCTTCTGCTTGTCCTCGCTAACAGGGAGAGGGTGAGGAGCTGCTCTGTGCTTGCTCTCCATCCCTGCCTTGCTCAGCCCCTGGCATTGCAGGGCTGGGGAGATGCTTGCTCCATTGCTGCTCTTGCCGTGGCTGTTGGGGAGCTCGGCAGCAGGCTGAGCCCCGGCACTGCTCCCTGCCTGTCCTGCCATGCCAGTGCTGTTGTCTGTCTGCACGTCCTGCCACTGCTGCATGTCGGCTGCCTGTTCCCAGGTCCCCTTCCAGGAGAAGTGGCCTTGCACAGGCACTGCCTTGCTGCTATGGGCAGCGCTGTCTGATGTTGCGTGCAAAGAGATCTAAAAGGGAGCAGATGCGTTTTCTGGGGCTTGGTGGAATAGCACTCTTCAGGCTGGTTACGGATGGGAGCCCTGGGCATGCTGCTGCCCGACGCGGTGTGTGGAGGCAGAAGCTGCAGCCTGCAGCAGATAGTTGGTTCAGGACAAGCAGCCTTGTCTGCAGCCTATAAATTTCTTGTTGGTTGTTTTTTTTTGTTTGCAGATACCGGCTCTGTTGACCTTGAATGGAGCTTGCAGGGGAGTAAATAAATGTTAGCTAATTGCACATTAGGCTCGTTTGTCACTTATAACCTTGTCTGACCGGTGTGACCTAGATCAGAATGGGAGCCCTGTAAGGAAGCCCAGTGCTGCTTCGGGGGTTTCTCAGCATGCCTGGTGGGTCACAGGTCTGTGGTCTTCAGGGCCACTCCATGGCTGGGGATGGCTGCCAAGCAGCATTGTCAGTGATGATATCCCTCTTCCTCCTCGGGATGAAGGTCTGTTGAAGGGAGAAGGTGGCCCAGCAGAGCCAGCCCTCTGTGGCTGCTGGCAGGGAGTCTGGGGGTGCTTTCCCTTAGCCTATGCATGTCCTGGATCTGCCCTGTTTCCATCACAGCCCACCCTGGTGTGATTTACCCCCCTGCCTGACTGTGGCCGAGATCGGCTCCTCCTGGCTCTCCCTGCTGTGCCGACATGGCAAGCTGCTTTCAGAGTCTCTGCCAGTCACCGATCCCGCGAAGGAGCCGGGCAGCGGCAGGACAATGGTCCCCATTCAGCGCTGCCTGGAGCTGGATCCCAGCAGGGACGGGCCCATCTCCTGCTCCCAGCACTGTTTTCCCTTATCTCTGCTGGCCCTGGCACAGACCGGGGATGAATGTGCGGTTTGGGTTGTTTCTTTCATAAATCTGCCAGGGGTGTGGGGTAGCCAATACACTGGTGTGGTGGGGAGCACCCAGCAAAGGCAGCCCAGCCACCGAATGTGTGCATGGGTGCTTGGTGCCTCCTTGTGCACTCGGGCTTTCCACCCTGCCCCGGGTATGGGGGAAGAAAGACACCCAGATCAAGGAAATGAGGGTGTGCGAGGCAGTTTGCTTGGTGGGACAGATTGTGTTGTCTCTCTAAGGGACAAAACCAGGCAGCAGAGTTTTTGATGCTTGGGGGGAAATGATTCAGCCTCTGAAAGCTTCTGTCTGAGCAGAGCAGGTGATCCCAGGTGGTCTGGGCAGTTACCCTGGGCAGAGCTGTCATATGGGTTGTAGGGCATGGGGTGGAAAGAGCCATCGCCATCATCACCTGGGGCTGCAGGCAACAGATGCTCCGTCCTGGGGATCCCCCAAAGCCGTGCTCTGCCCTTCTCCCCCATCACTGATGGTTGGAAGTGACAGCAAACTTGCACCCTGCAGCAAGACTGAAGCTGCAGGAGAGTGTGGGGGAGTTGACAGTCCTTGGGTCTGGCTCCTGCTGCCCCTGAGAGGTCCCTGGGTTTCTGCTCAGCTGTTCCTCTCCTTTCCAGGTTGTGCAGCGCATCAAAGCCGTGGAGACAGAGACCCGCTTGCTCGTGGTAGACAAGGAGACGGACGAGTACTTGTGCAGCCTGCGCCTGACATGCACGGAGGAGATGGTGCACAGCGGGATCCTGCTCAACTCCAGTGTCTCACCCACCAAGTCGGTGAGCAGTGACAACGGGGACATCTGGAAGCCACAGCTGGATCTGAGCGGGGGCAGCCTCCAGCGGCACTCACACAGCTTCTCCTCGCACGGCAGCAGGAAGGTGAGGGCAGAGCTGGGCGGCGTGTGGGGCTGCTGGGTGCAGAGCCAGGGAGTGGGCGCAGCCACCCTGGGAGCACCTCCCTCTGCAAGCATGCCTTGCTCCCCGTCAGAGAAAAAGCTTCCAGACGGGCCTGTTGGCTTGCGGGACCCCCGTTTGTCCCAAAGCAGTGGGTGAGCTGCTCCTTGGCCTCCTTTGCTCTTGCTTGAAGCAGCATTGGCTGCTGGGGGCTGAGCTGCTCTTTCCCCTCCTGTGCCCCTCAAGGGTCTCCCCAGCCCTGGGAGCCGCTGGGGGGCTGGGACAGAGGGGGGTCATAGGCCCTGGGGACAAGTGACCCCACGGTGCCTCGGCTGAGGTCGGTGTCCCAGCCTGGGTCTCGCCTGCCTGTGGGGACAGTCTGCACAGATCAGGGACGCAGTGAAGCTGGAGCTCGTGAATGAGCTTCTCTCCCCTCCATTATTTGCAGGAGGGAGGGAACATCTGGGGTGAATGTGTTCTCAGCTTTTTGCTTAAATGGGAAGGAAATTAGCTCTTTTTCAAGTGGCCTGGGTCTGGACTGTGATTCTGCTGTAAGTGCCTTTTATTGGTAAACTCCTTTCCAAAAAGGAAAGAATTTGGAGTGGAAAACGTCCAGTTTCCATGGCTGCCTTGCTGCTGGGGCCGGGCTGGCGGAGACGGCGCAGCCTTGCGCTTGGCAGATAGCAGGGTTTGGTCCTCGTGCTGCCCTTGCGTGGGGCGTGAACGTGGCAGGAGCAGTGTGGGTGTTGTGTGGCCAAGTGGGTGACTGTCACCTCTGCAGCTGTTTGTCCCCTTCCATGCCCTCACGCTACAGCCGCCCTTGTGCTTGTTGCTCTGTGCTACTGGGCAGGGAGTGCTGGTGCTCAATGGCCTCCCCCAGTGTGGAGCTGCTGTGGGCACACTCCTTCTCCTCCTCCTCTTCCTCCCCCCCCCTTGCTGGGGAGTTTGCAGGGGCTGCAGAGCTTGGTCAGCTTCCACCCCCATGGAGGTGGGGTGGTGGCTGGATGCTGGCCCAGGAGTGGCCATGGGGCTCCCAGGGGGACATGGGTGGGAAAGTCAGGGAAGCTTTGTGTCCTCAGGAGGCCCCATGGAGTAACAGCTGAAGAAATTCCCCTGTGCAGATAAGAGGTGATGCTGGTACGAGGCATGTGCATCTCCAGTGATACAGAGGGGGTCTCGCCTCTGGTCATCCCCTCCAGAGCTGTTTGGCATCTTGCAGAGGAGGATTCCCCTTTCTCTGGGACTGGCAGGGGCAGGGTTGAAGACAGTATTCTTATTTTTAATTTTACTTATTGCGTGATTTGAAGCTCTTTGAAGGTCTGTGTGATGACGATGGGTGTATTTCCCCTGTGGGTCGATGCAGTGGGGGGCTGGTCACCCCTGGGGTGGCTGGTGGGAGAGGAAATGTGCATGCTGGTGGGAGATGAATTGTTCCTGGGGAGGGGGGGAGCTGGGCATGGCTGGGGGCAGCTTTCCAAGCTGGGGATTTCCTATCCTGTCTCTGTTTCGTTTGCTGGGTGCAATCCAACAGTGTGTGCTGACGGGAAGTCAGGCGAGGGGAACAGGACGGTCCTTTCCGGCCTTTGGGTTTCAGCTCCTTCAAGAAGAGGGTGGGACAGGGAGAGCTGGGGAGGGCTGGGGTGCAAGGGGAGAGAAGTACCTACATTTCCCCTCAGAGGGGCTGGGGGGCTTCACCTGGGGCAGCGTTGCTGGGGCATTTGGTGCTTGCTGTGCTGGAGCTGGGGCTGGTGTTTGGCAGAGCCTGAGGTGGACAAAGGGGACTGACCCTGGGGGCAATGGGATTGGGGGGACAGGGGCTGCTGAGCATGTTGTATGTTTGCTCAGGTCAGTGGCTGGTTTGTTCCTGCCTCTGCAGGTGGCAGTTCTTCAAAGAGCTGGGCGCTGCAGGCTTTCCTGGCCAAGGTCACCTCTCTGTGCTGGGGCCGTGAGTGACCCTGGTACAAGGTCCGGGGTGGTCAGAGCATCCTGCTCCTGTGCCTTGCAGTCCTGCTTGCTTCAAGGTGGTAAAAACTGCTCCAGGCTCTTGGTCTGGGTGATATGGCTCTTCTCTGAGGTCCAAAATGGCTGGAGGTGAGGGGAGCAATGGTGCACCCCAGTTCCTGCAGTGCCTAGCCCTTCAGTGCCATGTCCCTGCATGGGGCAGCTCTAGACTGACCCTAGTCCTGCAGATCATAGGTGCTGGGTGAGCAATGGTGTGCGCAGCTCCCGAGAGCATGGTATGTTTGGGAGATTTCCGTCCCTGCAGAAGGGCTGTGGCAGCTGGGGTCCAGTCAGAGAATTGTCCCCAGCCAGGTTTGGAGGGGACCAGGCTCTGAGCTGGGTGGCACTGGGAGAAGCTGGGCTTGGGTCTTTTGTGTAGCTTCCCTGGAGGTGTCTGAAGGAGGAGAAAATGCAGCTCTGCTCCCCCTTCAGACCCCGGCACCAGCATGCCCCTGTAGGAAGTGGTGCTGATGCTCCAGGCTGCTCCCAGGGAGCAGCCTTTTTTTGAGCAGCATTTGTTTATGTAAAGGCTGCAGTTTCCTTGATTTGAGGCCATATTTTTTGGTGCAGCCTGAAGCAATGAGCAACTGAAACAGAGGAGGGAAATCTGGCACCCGGGGTGGCCGCAGCAGTGGGCAGCGGGGAGGTGATGTGATGCAGCAGGCAGGATGAGCATGGCCCTGCCAGCCTCCCCCATGCTGTCCCAGTCTTACTTTGCAAGAGAAGTGAACCCTCCCGGGAGCGCTGCCATGGATGGGGAGGTCAACACGCACCCCCAGCAGTGACCTGGTGTCTAGGACCTTGTGCTCCAAGAACCACGGTTATGCCATGAATAATTCAGCACGTATTTAAAATCAGGCTGCCTGCCCCGAGAGCAGGTTGGCAGGGCTGCTTGCCAGCAGCAGTGCCCGGCACAGCGCTGTGATCCCCAGCACCCTGGGGACTCATGCTCTGCATGGCCGTGGTGGCACGGGGAGCAGGGTCTGCCTTGCCCCATCCCAGGTCCGTGCCTGCCTGTGCTGGAGGGGTTTGCCTGCTCGCTGCCTGCCCCAGGCTGTGTCCCCTGGGAGGGGAACCAGCGCTCCCCATGTCCCCATGCCGTGCACACCCCTGTCTCAAACATGTTCTTGTGGCCACTGGGCTGTTTTCTGCTTTTCCCTGGAGCTCCGGCCCTCCCCTGCCGAGCACCCAGCATTGAGTCCCCAGGGGTTTGGGAGGTAGCCGGCAGGGCTGTGCTGGAGGGCAGGGGGGTGGCAGGGGCTGCTCCGTGTGTGTTGGGTGCTGCGTGGTGAGTTGCCTTTATTGCAAAGGTGCCTTTGGGACAGCGGTGTGAGCCAGCAGCGGCTGTTCGTTAAATGCCTGGGCTAATGGTGTGTAAAAGGCAGGCCTGCTGCGGGGCCAGGCTCTTGCTGAGTGGTGCTGCCGGGTGCTCGCCTGGATGCTGCCGGCTGTCCCAGAGGTGTTCGCGGTGTGCAGGCAGCATGGCCTGGGGCTGGGCGGCCCCTTTGCGG